TGCCCAGGCGGGTCTCGAACCCGCGGGCTCAGGCAATCCCTTGCCTCGGCCTCCCAAAGAGCTGGGATTACAGGCTGAGCCGCCAAGTCCGGCCCAGAATCCACTTTTCAACTGTCACCTGTTTATCACCCACAATACCTTTAGCAGAAAACAGTTAGAATATGGATACAGTTTTAATCAGATCCTACAGTCCTACTTCTTTTAAACTAATTTTGAACACTAAAAATGTTATAGCTCTCAATATGTTTCTAAAATAAAATTCAACTAACAGAAGTAAATAATAAAAACTAGTGTTGATGCTTGTTACATCTAAGTAGTCAAGTACAAGAAAGTTATAAGATCTCAGTGGAGAAAAACATGGAAAAGGCTATTCAAAATTAAGCAAACTTTTAGTTACAAAGTGTATTTCTGGAATGCTCTACTTCACTTACTTAAGTTTTCTGCAGACATGCCCCAAGTTGTTCAACAAAGGTTCCCATTTGTCAACTGTTACCTAAAACACAGCAACATCAAGCCCACGAGTTATATACATCACTGTTCAACCTGATTGCTTGTACTGAATCATTTCACATCCTGCAAGTTGGGCTCTCTCCTAGTGTGTGTCTCCACCACAGCAAGAAGCAGGACATCTACTGGTTTATCCGCTTTTCTTTCTTACTAAAGGAGACTTCACGAGGACTCTAGCATTACTAGCACCATTTGTCAGAGCCTACCCAAGCTGAGTAAGTTCAAACTGTGTACCTGAAGCTCTAGCTTTCTCTGAAACACCAGATCTTCTTATCTGTCTACTCAGTATTTCCACTCAGTAACGTTCCAGCACTATGAATTCAGCATGCCACACACCAGCCCTCCCAGTCAGTAAACAGAACCCTGTAACCTCTGACCCTTCCAAGAATCACCAGGGCTTGTTCCTCTACCTCCTGGGCATAACTCTGACCCATTTAATCCTCATTTCTCCATTAACAAAGTCTTACCTGAACCCCAATCATAAAATTCTAACCATGTTGTCCCCTTCTGAAGCCCCTTTCGTTTTCCCACTCGCCTCAGGATACGGTGCAGACTCTTTAACATCATTTTCAAGGCCCTCAGTAATCCACACTTGACACTCCTGGACCCATGTCTCTACAGTCTCTGTGAACTCAAAATCCGAGCCAGCCCGAATTGGCTCTAATCTGCACACATCATTCTCTACACCTGAAATATCCTTCTCCCTCATTTTTACCTGACTAATGTCTGGCCACCTTCAGGACTGCAGGGTATGATGTTCTAACCAAAAGCATTCCTGACCACCTTCATGTCTGGGTGGATTGCCCTTCTCTGGCTACCTTTATGTCCTCAGTCACCCTACATTTTTACGGTCGATTGGCTCACTCACACTCCCTTCCTAGTTGATCCGAGGGCAGGAAATGTCACACTAGCTCCCCAGCCACGTGTTTCCAATGCCTATTTCAGAGCCCAGGATAAAGCCAACACTTGCTAAGTATGTGCAAACTGAATGAATGGACAGCCTTGACCCACACTCTCCAACTCTGCTGAGACTGGTTGTAGGAAGCACAGCCCATGTGAATGAAAAACAAATCACTAAGGGATTTTGGGCATAACTGCTTCTTTGACTATTCTGACATTTGCTGCAGTCTGAAGTCAAAAAATAGTTTCCCCCTTTCCATATAACTTTTCAACGGGCATTTAGACATTTCAATAGTATTGTGCTTTCATACTTAACATCATTACTTTAAATTCCTGTAAGACTCCAAAGTGCCTCTGAATCACCAAAGAATATAATTTCCACTTCATTGTGTGGTTTCAGGAAGGGCCTCTCAAACTTCTCCATGCACAAGAATCACCTGGGGATCTTGCTAAGTCTGCAGATTTTGACTTAATCAATCTGAGAGTCTCACGTCTAACAAGCTTCCAGGTGATGCTGATGCTGCTGGGTCCGTCTGAGTGGCAAGGGTTGACTCAATGCTTAGGATACTGATAAGGTGGTTAAGTGGCAACCCTATGTTAACAAAAATGCTTGGATTATCCAGAACCACCCAAGACAAAGCAGAGGAACCTGCTTTATATACATATATGTGCAAACACACAGACATAGAGTGTTTATAAGTTCAGGTGGCAAATAAGAAGAGACCAAATAAACAAATAAACAAAACTGAGTTTATGGGGGTGGGCAGACCACCACTTGGCAGGAGGCAGAGCTGACTGTCTATAATAGTAGGGTGGGGCCAACAGCAAAGGAAGAAGGGACCCATGGGCAGGTGTACACAAACAGGAATGGGATGAAACAGAAGTGAAAATCACAACACAACAAAGCACGTATGATTAGAAAGAATCAGCAATCAGAAGAGTGGCAACATGTAAATCCCTCACCCACAGAAGTTATAACATCTAAAACTGTTATTTTCTTTAAAAAAAAAAATTTCACGCATGCCCTTGCTAGTTGGAAGGTTAGCTCATGAGTACCAACTCATGGGGTACACCTTTCACACATCAGGTGAACCTAGTCAAACACTGTGAACCCTGAAAGGTCTAAATATATACTCTGTACACATTAGGCACAGTGACAAAAGGTCTGCCCTTAAATGACAGTGGCCCCATCTCTATCCTGCCGAAGTGAAATCGGTTGCAATGTTGTTTTTTTAACCTTCAGTCAAAGAGGCGGCTCTTTGAAATTCTAGAGAAGGCAGTGTATTACACTAGATGCTACAGTGCCCACCAGTTTCCACTAACCATCAACGTTCCCAGTTTCAAATAATCACCAGTTTTGATTAACCCCACATTTCAAAGCTAGAGCCCTCTTAAGAAGCAAACATACAACATGTGCCTTCTTAATTAAAAAAAACTCATTTCTTACCATGTGGCAAAACAGTTAACTCTCCAACAATTCCAACATTAACAAGCCACTTGCTGTGATAAACATTAGGTTATTACCTTCTAGGCGAGAGAAACTGTCTACATTATTTTCCTCATTCAACAATAAGCACACTCGGGGGATGTATGTATTTATAGATATTACATAGAATACCTCATTCCCAATTGCTTTAATTTTTTCCAAAGCATCGAGAAACCATTTTTCTGCTGTTTTCCATCTAAAATAGAGGGAGGAAAAGGTTGAAGATTATTTAAAATTAGCAAGTATAAGCATTTTGAGAAAAATTTGATTATCTGTTTCCAGTAGTACTAAAATGAAAAGGGATAAACTGCTGGAGACAATTATTACAATTCAAAGTTGTCAAATAAATGATTAATGCTATGGCACTAACATCACACTAGTTCAAGATTTTAAGAGATATAGTAGATTCTCGTCATTCATAGTATTTATGTTCTGTAAAGTTGCTGTGAACCTTGATTTAGCAAATACTGAACCACAGCTCCCAGAGGAAATTCAGTTTGGTTTCTGCAAACCTCTGATCACAATATTTTCACCTGATCAATGCATAACCTTGTTTTATGTGTGTCTCTGTTTAAAGACATCTTATTATTTGATATATATTGTTGATTCACGACCAGCAGCACTATAGCTCATACTGAATGGAGCTTTTCTAATATTTTGAAAGGCACATTGCCATGCACACCAGACAGTATTTCACTAAGCATGGGGATTAAACAGTGAAACCACCAACAAAAAAGACAAAAATGTGAAAAATGTGGCACTAAACAGACCACAAAAAGTACACCTGTTTACAGTTGAGCTCAAACAAAAAGGCAGAGAGTCTGTCTGACTTCAGCTGGGACTGTGAATGTCAGGAGACTCAAATTTCTCCCTGCCCTGTGCATATCAGAATGACTACAAAAGGACCTTGTCTTGATTTTGGGGTTACAAATACATTTTAATGAGTAGACAAGTTCACAATACTGAGGTTGATTGCATTATATTAATTCATTACTATTCATTTTTTTAAAGTTTTAAGTTTTCTTTCTTATAAATACCTAGAAAATTCAAGTTTTAGAACACATATATGTCATAAACAATAAAGTAATAGTAATTCACTATTTTTAAATTTATGTATAAATCAAATGCAAAGGATTATAGATATTCTAATCTATGAGTATGACACCAAATTACTTATTCTACAAACATTCAAGGATACAGTAAAGCCTCAACTGAAACAGGAAACTCAGAGATTGGGTCATTCTAATTAGTTTAATTTTCTGATTTACTAGTAACTAAACAGAAAACATTTTTGTTTCAAAAACTGTGGCAAATCTTTCTTAAATATGCGAATCCAACTCACATCAACACAGAAATGGCATAAGGACCACACAGTGCCTCCAGGTCACACTGTGGGGTATCAGAGATCTGAACTGTCCACTCATGGAAGAAAACATGCGATTGCTCAGATCCAAGAGCAAAAATTGGATTAGAATTTTTTCTTTTCTTTTTTTTTCTGTAGTGACAGGGCCTCACTGGTCTTCAACTCCAGGTTCACGCAATCCTCCTGCCTCAACCTCCCAAAGTACTGGGATTACAGGCGCGAGCCACTGCACACAAAGTTCAGATCTTTTAAGGAAATCCAAGAGAAGAGTTTCTCTTTTCTTTTTTTAAGCTCTCTCTCTCTTTTTGAGTTGGAGTCTTACTCCATTGTCCTGGTTGGAGTGCAGGGGCATACTCACGGCCACCACAGTGTAGACCTGCTGGGCTCCTGCAACCTTTCCACCTCAGCGTTCCAAGTAGCCAGAACTACAGGCGCGCGCTACCGTGCCTGGCTACTTTTTTATTTATTGTAAAGACGAAGTCTCATCAAGTTTCCCGTAGTGGGCTCAGGCAATCCACTTACCTCAGTCTCCCAAAATGCTGAGATTACAGACTGAGCCATCAAGCCCGGACTACACTATCTCCTTTCTAAACAGCGCATTTAAAATAAAAATCTATTAAAGAGTTACTCTGATGAGTTAAACTCCAGTGACCTAGGTGTTACTGTTTATAAAGAATAAACAGAAGGGCCTGTGACCTTCTGGTACTTACTCTCCATTTTGAAATGCAACCACGCCAACCTCATGCATAACAAAAGGGTCTTCTGGTGCAATGCTCAGGGCCTGGCCGAAGAACCTTTCAGCCAGTTTTGAGTTATTGGTCAAACCATATTCTAATCCAATATACAGCATTGGCAAATGACACCTAAAAATGTTGGAAAATTTCACGTAGTCAACACTAGAAACTCTGTAATTCAGCAGAAATTCATCAACTTCAAAACTTATCTGCACAATAATTTAAATGTAGCCAAAAGACAGCATTTATTTTTCTCTAACTCATTATTTACCTTGAATTTTCACTATTCCATGGTAAAGCCCCAAACCCCTCTAAAGCAGAAGGGCCGGTCTACGTGGTGACTGTTTTCCTCCTCAATGCTAATGTCATGCCCCCAGTCTAGACCAGCCTCCGGCTTCTCCTTGTTTATTCAGCACCATTTATCCTTCAAGATGGTGTTCAAGTTCCATTTCCTTTATGGAGCTACCTCTGATTTTTCTAACCTAAATGCTCTCCGTTGTGTGCATTCCCATTATAATCAATTGTTATCAGTTCTATGAAGAGTTATGAATAATGTCATGTGTATTAATTCTATCCTTCCATTCTCTGAGACAATTCTAGGCATAGAGTCAGTACTAACTACTTTTTAACTGAATTTTCATCTGTTTGCACTACTGGATCAGTGACTGCACTAAATATATTAAGATGATTTTTCTTTGGAGATGATCTAAGAAGAACATCGATAAAAACTGACCGACTGCTTGGTACGTGCTTTGGTTCTAATCTGGGGTCATAACTCAAATTACAATTCTATCATCTTCAGAGAGATGAAAACCCTCTAAAAGTATCTACCAAGAGGAAGTAGGTATGAAATGAATTTGGATTTCAATTTTTATTAAATTTTGGAATATCTGCATTATATTTATGGGTTGAGTATCACTAGTCTGAAAATCTGAAATGCATAACTGACAGATCTGACACTAGTAGGGTTGTCCAACAAGAAATACCAAAGGAAACCCTTTAGGCAAAAATAAAAGAATACTAGAAAGTAACTCAAATTAACATGACGAACTAGAAGAATCCAGTAAAAATAACTCCATTGGCAATTATAATGCATTGACAGTATAAATGCATTTTTGTTTGCAACTCTTCTATCTGATTTAAAAGATAACTGAATAAAACAATAATCATAAATCTATATTGATGGGCTTATAATGTATAATATGTCATTTGTATGACAATAATAGCACAAAGGGAGTGAGAGGGAACAGAGCTATACTGAAGTATAGCTTTCACAAATGATGACATTAAACTGGTATTAATCCAAACTAGATTGTTTTAAGTTAAAATGTTTACTATAATCTACAAGATAACCACTAAGAAAACAGCTCAAAAAATATATGACAAATACAGGATTAAAACAGGACATTATAAAGTATCTATTCAACACAAAAGGAAATAAAGAGGAATATGGGAGCAAAAAAGGGGTGACATCCCACTTTATCAGTAATTATATTAAACATAAACGGAATAAACACTTTGATCAAAAGCCAGCAATTGGCAGAACAGGTTAAAAACATGATCTAATTATATGCCATCTATGAGAGACATATTTAGATTCAAAGACACAAGTCGAAGTTAAAAGAATGGAGAAAGACATACCATGGAAACAGTAACAAAGGAGAGCCTGGTACGACTACACTAATGTCAGATGAACTTGTACTAGAGACAACGAAGGGCATTTTATAATGATAAAAGGCTCAACCCATCAGGAAAACATAACAATTACAAGCATACAAACACTTCACAACAGAGACTCAGGAATACATGAAGCAAAACCCGCCAGAATTGGAGGAGGAAATAAACAATTCAACAATTAGAGTTGGAGACTTCAACACCTCATTTGCAATAGTGGACAGAATAATTAGGTGAAAGATCAACAGGCAATTAGAAGACTTCAACACTTCTCTAAAAATTAGGCCTTGATTTCTGGCAAGATGGCGATGGGACAGGTCGGACTGTGGGAGTTTCCACAAAAGCGAGTGTCCAAGAAGACTCTGCTTGAGTGGGTGTGTGACAGGGGTGCGTGCAAGTCCATCTGAGACTCGGGTTCATGCACCTGGAGCTCTTCTCCAAAGGTGACTGCAAACCCCCCGCCGCCCTGAAACTGGAGCCGCCAGGAGCAGGATGGTCTGCTGTTCTCAGGGCTCTCCTAGAAAAGGCTGGGGAATACAGCTGGTCCTCACTACCTGGGACCCAGCCCACACCATCACCTGTGCCAGCAGGGTGACAAGAGCTCCAGATCTGTGGAGAGGGCAGGTTGGGAGAGCTGGAGAGGAGCCTCACCACTGGGGAGGAAATGCCAACCGGAGCCACTTTCTCTGTCCTGGGACCAGGCAGACACTTGCACTGCCCCACCTAGCTCCACCCAGGCTCCAACCTGGGACCCAGAGGTTATCTCATCAAACTCGGAGAGACAGACGCCCCCACCCCAAGCTGCAACAGGCACAGATATGACAGATCTGAGTGGGATACTCGTTGACAGTGGCAGCAAGCCAGGTGAGTCCAGATCTGATCCACTCTCCTCCCACAGTAGTCCACAAGGCATCCAATCTACACCGAAAACAATCCTATCAGCCAGCGCTGAGAGCAGATGGGAGGGGTTAGAGACCAGAGCTGCAAGAAGCTGGAGTTACAGAAACTGTCGCAGAGTGAGTTTTTTTGTTTTTGATCTGTTTGTTTGTTGTCTGAGTTTTTTTCTTATTCTCTTCTTTCTGTTTGTGATTACATTCTTGTACATGCTTTGTTTCTGCTATTTTACTGCTTTTTTTAGACTTCTGTTTGTGTATGGGCATTTTTGAGGGAGAGCACAATAGGGGGTTTTTTGTCAGTTTGTGTGATTGTATGTTTTTGCTTTTTTGTTTTATCTTTGTTTATGACTCTTTTCATTTGTTAGTTGGTATGCCTGTTCTCCCTCTTCTCTCTCTCCACCTTCCTCTCGGCCCCCTCAATCCTTTTTCCAATCTTTTCCTTTTTCTTACCTCACTTTGTTTTCAGGGGGCAAACCTATACCCCCACTGCATGGATAGACTGTAAGGCAGTAGGAAGAGGGTTCCAGAGGGCCCACGCACCTATCAGTGGATACTGAGATCTACAGACAGTTTCTGAATTACAGCTCCTCCCTCAATTAAATCTCAAAACTGCAAAAAAGTACAGCCCCCCCCCCACAGTCCAGCTTCAGAATTGAACAGAGCCAGAGATCCACATAAGGAAGAATAGGAGCTGGAGTAAACAGAAGTAAAGTTACCGCCATCCCTGAACAACAGAATTAAAGAAGAAGTTTTTTAAAAAAAGGGAGGAGGAAATGAAGAAAAACCAAAAGAACCAAAAAAACCAAAAGAAGAATATGGGTCTCACACAGACCCCTGGGAGGTTAGACACTGAGAATACAGACTACAGAACACAAACAATGAAAAGCCCCCAGAATGACTGGTCTCAAAAAACAAACCCAGATATCAAGACATTAATAGAGAGAATAAATAGGACTGAGAAGAGACACAAGGAAAGAATAAAGGAGTTGATAACTGAGATGACAGCAATAAAGAATACAGTGAATGAGATAAATAACAAACTGAAATGCACGGAAAGCAGACTTAGCCAAGCAGAAGAAAGAATCTCAGAGCTTGATGATCAAAATATAGAACAAACTCAAACTGTTAAAAACATAGAGAATAAGAATGAAAAGAAAAAACAAAACCTTCAAGAGATGAACGAGTATCTAAAGAAGGCAAACCTAGGATTAACTGGAATTCCTGAGGCAGACAGAGAGAGAGAGACAGCAACCACCCTGGAACAAGCATTCCAAGAATTTATCCAAGAAAATGTCACTCATCAGTGACACGACCATTCACATACAAGAGATTCAGAGAACCCCTGCAAGATGACAAATGAGTAGACCAACTCCTAGACACATAGTAATTCACCTACACAGAGTAGGCATAAAAGAAAAAATTCTAAAGGCAGCAAGAGAAAAAGGTCAGACTCCCTACCAGGGAAAACCAATTAGAATAACAGCAGACTTATTCACAGAAACACTTCAGGTGAGGAGAGCTTGGAGCCCAATCTTCAAAGTTCTCAAAGATAAACAATTTCAACCAAGAATTACCTACCCAGCTAAGCTAAGATTCATCAGTAATGGAGAATTAAAATCTTTCCCAGATATTCCATCCCTTAAGAGCTTACACTGCCTCCAAACCAGTTCTACTCTTGTAGAATGTATTAAACACAAATGAAAGGAAAAAAAGACCACCACCACCCTTCACAAGAATGCAGGAAAAAAGATTGAAAACGCACAGAAATCAATCCCAAAATCAAAAGAAAGACAACAAACAAACAGCAGCAGCAACAACAAAATCTGTAAGAACCCATGACAGGGATAAACTCTCACCATCTCAAGAATAAGCCTGGACGTGACAGGACTAATGCACCACTGAAAAGACATAGATGGCAAGTTGGATAAAATATCATGAGGCAACAATATATTGTCTCCAAGAGACTCATCTCGCCAGAAAGGACACTCACAGACTCAAAGGCAAAGGATGGGAAACAAAATTTCAGGTAAACAGAACACAAAAGAAAGCAGGAGTTGCAATATTAATATCAGGTAAAATATCCTTTAAGCTATCAAAAATTTAAAAAGATATGAAGTGTCACTACATAATGATAAAAGGTTCAATCCATCAACAAAAAATATCCATCCTAAACATAATATGCACCCAACATAAGAGCACCAACTTTCATAAAGCCAGTTTCTAGGTAAACTTAAAAAAGATGACTCTAACATTGTCATAGCTAGGGACTTAAAAACTCCACTCACCACCCTAGACAGATCATCAAGACAAAAAATCAACAAGGAGATATGGAACCTCAACATAACGCTTGACCAGATGGACTTAATTGATACCTACAGAACACCACCCAACAACCATGGAATATATATCCTGCTCATCACCAAATGGAATGTACTCTAAGACCGGCCACATCCTCGGCCATAAATCAAGCATAAACAATTTCCATAATATTGAAATACTGTCATGCACCTTCTCAGACCACAGTGGAATAAAAATAAATATCAACACCAACAAAGCTCC